AGAGAGAGAGAGAGAGAGAGAGAGAGAGAGAGAGAGAGAAAGAGAGAGAGAGAGAGAGAGAGTTGAGGACTTCATGGGTTTAAACTTACGGATGGAAGGGTTTAGGAGTGTAGGTGGCGGCTTGGTTTATTATGGTTTTGAGATTACTTCTCGCTGTAGCAAGGGTGGAGCAGCAATTTGGGAGAATTCGACAGATCGGGCCTTTCACAAGATAGCTTCTTGGCAACTTTGGATGCATGCACGGCGCCGGCAAGCAAGACTGCAGAGTTCATGGTTCCGTGGCCCAACCTCTGACTTCTCTGAAGGAGATGCGGAATCGCCTAGAGCGACGCTTGGCTGAAGTTTGCGACTCGTTTTCGGGAGCTTGTGCCTGGTTCTTGGGCAGAATACGTCCCCTGCGCATCTCTGGCCGGGTTCTTCCAGGACAGGATTCAGCAACTTTGTTTCAACTTAAGCCAGCTCAGCATGACATGGCTGCGCCACAATGACAACAAAAGCGATAGCTATTGCCAGCGGTTATCTATCTTGCCAGAAAGAAGATCTGGCATAAGTCCGCCTTACAGTTTCCGAGAACCGATAAGTAGAAGACTTATTGATAGTTACAGTTACAGTGCCTTTGGAATTGGCCGTAACGGTGTTTGCCGCCTCGGTCAGCCGTTCCGAAGCCAACCTGCAAACTGCGAGGCTATGCGGAGGAGTTTCGTTCGCGGGGCATTGAGGGCCCCAACAGCATTACCGCCTTGAGCGGCGCACCGGACTCAGTTGTCGGAAGCCTGCCCATAGATGATCATAGATGGCTCCTCACCTTCTTTTCGGCCTTTTGGAGTAGTCGTGCCCTATTCCTTGAGAACCGAAAAGGCCTGCAACAGTTTGAGGAGGCTGATGAGTCTGTTGAAGACTGCACAAAAAGTTGGGATGCAGGCCGAGGTCTACCAAGAGCTTCTCTTTGATTGGCTGAGAGTACAGGATGCATGCTGGTCCTTTTCTGATTCATGAACACATGTTTGTAATTGGTTTGTACCTTTATAATCTGTATATATTTAAATATACGTACACATGTGCATACAAATCCCTATATGCGTACATCGCATCTATCCTCCATGCATCCATGCATCCGTCCGTCCGTCCATCCGTCCATCCATCCATGCATGCGTGCATGCGTGCATGTGTAGATGTGTGTATGTTTATAGATGCACATATGTGTGCAAGTTTGTTTGTTTGTTTGTGTATGCCATGGTGCATGTCTGTGTGTATGTATGCATGTATGCAAGCATGTATGTATGTATGAATGAATGTATGTATGCTTGTAAATATGTCTGTATGAATGTATGTATGTACGTATGTATGTGTGTATGTATACATACACACATAAGTTGCTCCTGTAAGGGGTGAGGAGTACTTGTACGTTCCATGTTCATGGTCACCACCTCGGGGAAGGGGCCTCCAGTGTGTAGCTGTTTGTGTGTGTGTGTGTGTGTGAAATCGAGGCAGCGACAAAATACGTTAGAAAGGCATGCTGCAAAGGTTTATCCATGAGCATGTTAGGCCCTTTAGTAAGCGGGGTTTGTACTGGAGCTTGGCTGAGCGTGTCTAGGTTTCCTTGAGGAAGACTCTATTTCATCTACTTCTGCATGCAGGCTTCACGGCTCCGCTGCGCACTTCCAAATGGCATGCTGGGATCCACGCTGCTGCAGAAGGCTGTGCGCGAGGCCTGGAGGGTGGGTTTCGGGTCTGTTGGACCCAAAATTGCAAAAACAAGTTCTGAGGCGCTGATATGCCAGCTTCCAAACTCCAAAACGGCTCAGATCCCACAGCTTATAAGCCCGAAGCCTCAAAGCCTGCAGCCTGGAGCTCTAACCGCAGGAACCCTCCCAATCAGTTTCAATCGCGGGACAAACACGTAATTTGCACGATCTTCCGACAGGACCTAGGATCCCTGCGACTGCGGCCTCTTCACTGGTCCTTGTTCAATCCCGTTGAGGCTCGCGGCCGACATCTTCGGCAGTTGGGGTCAGGGAGAGCTGTGAGAGCCCGCCATTTTTCTGAGACGGACGGAGAGATGATAGCTGCACGATGTTTCTTGTCAGTCACAGGAGTAATACCGACTATTGCAATCGACGTTCTGTGGTAAATCCGTGAACCCACGATCCATAAAATGCATGGTATTTGTACTGCAACGTACTAAACCATATTAGACGAAGAAGTCCTATGCATCGACAAATTGCCCGAATCATCGATCGGGATCAAAGAGAGCTTGATCGGGGTCCAAAATGCCCTGCCCGTCTCTTGTGCTTTTGTACCAGTGTCACTGTTGCTGTCAGCGTTCTCGTTTTGTAATTTCGTGTTTTTTTCCAGTTACCTAGCCCTTGTTCCAGTGTCTTAGCCTTCCACATACACTCCGAGTGCCCACCGTCGTTTTGTATTGAAAGGCCACGGACGCCGAGCGGATGCACCGAGTGCTGCAGGGGCAGGAAGCGCTGCCGGGCTATGCTCTGGCCGTGCATTTCTTCCGCAAGGCCTTAGGAATTGGTTCGAGTGGACAGGGGCTGGCGCTCATTTTGCTATGGGCTTGATGCTCGGGGCTTGTGAACTTGGAAGGTTCCTGCTGTGGGGACGACAGCATGGTTTCACACGTGGCTTGTGGTTCAGTGTACGTCAACCCGTTGCAGAGGAGTTGATCAAGCTAGGTGTCGATATTGCATGGGCAAGGGCGATCGGCGTGCAGAGCTGTTATCAGCACTCAGCAACAATTCCACGGAGCTGAGGTCAAGAAGATTAGCGTCGCGACTAGTTGACTGGTTGGTCATGTCAAGCTAGTACAAAAGAGGTACAGCATTAAGACTTAAACTGGCGAAGACCCCAATGGCTGGGGGCTGTGCGCAGCCGTCATGCTCTTTTACCTAGAGCTGGGACAACAAGACTTGTGGTACTCATGCGGATAATGCTGCCCAACAGTATCGTTAAGATATCTTGCTATATGGATAAACTTAAGACAATGAACTGATTTGCAATCGAATGGTGTGTACATGACAGACATGGCACACAGAAACATGCATATATGTTTGTATCTGTATACAAATATGTAACTCCATGTACATATGTGCGCGTGTAGGTACATGTGCGCGTATATGCGCATATGCAATCTATGTACCTACATGTCCTCATGTGCATTTATGCATAAAAGTACATATGCGTACACATGTAGATTATGTGTGTATATGTACATATGTGTAGATGCATGCATGAATGCATGCATGGATGGATGGATGGATGGATGGATGGATGGATGGATTTGGCAGGCATGAGAATAGGCAACACCAGCTCATGCGAAGGTCTTGCAGTAGTAATAACACGTCAATGCAAGATGAAATAAACAAGCGCACGGTACCATCAGCAATTCATTGCATTCCTGATGTCAGGTGAGAGACGAGTGGTCTGCATTGGGCCCCGCGACTGCAAGCTCGCAACATGTGAACGGCTGACGATGCGGTTCCCAACGCCTAAATTCCACTCCATGTCATCTCGATAAGGTCTACCAACACCGAAGCTGACGCCTGTGCTCAAGCTGTCAGAGCCTGTCAACAAACCTGCCGAAGGCCTGTTACTTGTAGCTGTAGCTATCCTGCAGCGAGGCGCTGATCAGATCCGTGTTGATATGCATTCCGTGACTACTTTGGACGACGTTGCCGTGAACCATACATGTTGTGCACCACTTCGGAAAGAAAGCCTCAAGGGCAGTGTGTTTGCCTGGGAGGCACCCACCTCCAAAGGCGTGCAAACTCAGAATTGGCCGGGGGATGGCTGCAGAAGAGGCTAATTCGGCCTGACTCGCACGCGATCCTCTGTGACCCCCCAAACACGGAAGAACTACGGGCTGCTCCACGAAAGAAGAGGAGCTTTCTAGCAACTTGGCAGCCCATATTGTCAGCACTTCTCTGGTACGATCTGATCTTCGGGTGCAGGGTTGGGGGATAGGGCAGTTGCAAGGCTGCTTCTTGCCGGAAGTCGCCGGCATGTCGGAATGAAGCAACGGGACAGCATGATCTTTTCGTCATGAACACGCTCAGGAACTGCTGGAGAGATCTCGAAAGGACATTGGCTCTGTAGCTGCACTTATTTACAGATCCCAGCGGCCCGGTTGGGAGATTTTGCAGGCATCTCCGATGTGCCACCATATACTCAGCAGGCTACAGCAGCAAACCCAAAGGACGGGATGATGCGCCACTGTGCGCTATGGCATTTTACCATACTCCCTTTACATTAGGACAAGGGCACATGTCAGGGACGGCATATGTTGTGGCGGCCGACCCCCTTTTGCCTGCTTTTGAAATCCTTCAAGCCAACCGGCCCGGCGATGTGTGGGTTCAGAGTGTAGGTAAGCCAGCAAGAGCTTTGTAGGGACCAGTTGTGGTCTTCATTATTGCAGACATTGAGCTAGGAAGCTTGAAGGGAAGCCCAATGCACAGCAGGCCGCATATCTAAGCTCCTCACGATGATTCGTAGATCCACAGGCTTGGGGTCGGCCCTGGACCTCTAGCAGCCTCTAGCACTTGCCGCAGGCTTTTAGGTTCATGGCTTCAGGGTTTCAGGGGTGTGTCAAGGGGGTCTATGGCTCCAGGACTTCTGGAATACTCCGGCTGCAAAGGACAGCCGGAGCGGGAGCGCCGAAGCAACCAGGCCAGGGTCGGGAACGATGTCATTGTGTGCCGATCTTCTTATGTCGCGAGCTGCTGTCATGCTCTTACCGACGATCGAAATCTTATGGCGCGTGTGCGCAAGCATTTTTATTGTGAGAGTTCCAGCATTTCTGCACCGGCCTTGTTTCTTGTCCTGTCGGTGCAAGGACCAAAGCTGTCAGTGCCCGAGCACTGCGAGAACCGCACTCGGCAGACTGCTGTGGGAGGAGAAGGAAAACAAAGGGATCGCTCCTTTTGCTGCGGGCAGGTTCAGCACAAACATTTTGAGTCAGAGGCGGAAGGCCGCGAGAAGACGCATCTCAGGTGGGTCAACGTGACCCTGGCATCGGCATCTGCAGGCCGGAGTCATAGCTGCTGAGTAGGAAGAGCGCCAGTAATTGCAAGAGTGTGACGAGTGGCAGACGAAATCTGTTCAAATACCATGAGCCGGTCTTGCAGAGTAGCTAGAGTACACCTCTTCCAAATGGCCAGTGCGATTCTGGTCCACAAGGTATGTGCAACCCGAGATGCGTCAGCAGTGAAGGGTGCAATCGCTTACGATGTTGGAGTTCATGCGAGACAAATCAAACACTGTCGAGCACGTCCACAACGCGCACGCGTCGATACCGCAGGTGTCATTGAGTTGTGACTGCTTTTGGAATCACGCGTTGTGGACTGAGGGCAGTTAAACTGAACCGTTACCAGCAGCCTGGCATGCAGGCTCCACATGGCGTACGGAACAGATTTGCAAGCGGCATGCCGGCACACTGGCGGGAGCCTCATGTCATTTGGACCTCAGGCCATGGGTTAAGTCAGTCGAGTTTTGGGGGCGAAGCCAGGTCATGACCCAACGGCATATGTATCAGAAGTCCTGGGCGTTGCGGAGCACAAGACCCCGTTTCGTGGCACTTTGTGCAACCGCTTTCCCAGAACTCAAGGAGCAGATGCTGCTCAAGTCCGAGCACCTTTCAGTCGAGGCGTGACCCACACGGTGTTCTGAGAAATGCATGCTCTTGAGCGATCTTCCGGTTCTGTTCTGCCATTGCGGAGTGATCAGTTTCTTATAAAGTAGGATTTTGAAGTTCAAGTCTTGGATTTTTTGGTCCAGGTGATGTGTCTGGCACTGGAGCCATGGGAGCTGCCACCTCAGCCCGGCCTCTGTAGGTGAGTCTGACAGTCAACGGCGGAGAGCTCCGGGGCGTGGGCCGATGTGGTCTGCGTGATCGAAGTTTCGCCTCATTCTCGATGCTGCAGGTGGAGCTGTGACGAGTGTGAGAATGGAGATGATGTTGTGATGGTGGCGATGGTGATTGTGGCGATTGTGTAGATGTTGTCTGAGACAGTGATGACGATGCTGGTGACGTGCACGATGGACATGCTGGTTGTGGTGTGGCAGGAGGAGGAGGAGGAGGAGGAGGAGGAGGAGGAGGAGGAGGAGGGGGGTGGCCATTGCGGCGACGGTGGCAGCGGAAGAGACACGAGCAATGGATAGATGGATAGGCGTTCTCTTTGACATACCCCGTGGCGCTTCCATGAAAGATTGAGCACAACTCTTCGGCCGTATATGGGAGGTGCTTCCGCAATTATGTTAGAGTCCATTCTCACTTTGTCATTACCGTAGACTGGCATTGCTTGTATGGTTGCTTTCGGTTGTTCAATTTGTCGTCCTTCGAATAGTTTGTTGTTAGTGCAGCTTCTTGAGATTACCACTTGTTGCGACTATCCCAATCCAATTTGTCAGTGCCATAGCTAATCTTAATGCTGCTGTTTTCTTCGACACGGCCTTCGTCGCCCTAATTTTTTTGTGACGATGATGACGAAGATCATCGCCATCGTCGTCGTCATCATCGTCGCCACCATCATCACCATCATCATCAAGACTGCAGATCATCTACATAAACCATGAATTTGAACGGTATCATGCACAGCCTATTGAGAGATGTTCCAACTTGCCCCACGTCCCTATCAGTGCTTTTAGTTGTTGTTGTGATTGGCGTGGCCGGAAGAATTCAACTAGACCAGCAGCTATCATCCGGAATTCTCTGGGCCAAGGAGCCACCAAGTTGCTGCCCTCGCAGTGACAGCCCTTACGCTGCTCCTGGGCGCGCTCGTCCTGGTGCGACACCGCGGGTAAGTAGGGGCTGAGAGCTAGAAGGTTGCCAAGGAATGAGCACTTCAAGAAACCCAGTGAGGCTAGCTGAAATTCATGCCTGCGCGGGCTCGTTGCTGCACAGCATTCGCAGGGAAGCCGAACCGGCAAGTGAGCATCTATTGCTTGCTGATGGATTCTACAAGTACCGAATCTCTTCACCTGAGACGCCCCAAAAGACTCCCTAAACCCCGAAAGAATCCCAAGCCCGAAACCTCCCCCCAAAAAGGAATCCCTACAGCCCAAACTCCGAAGCCGCCGAAGCCCTCAAATCCTTACGCTTTCCCGCCAGGCGGCTCTTGGCGCGGTCTGGAGGCTCAGTCGCCGGACAAGCTTCGCAGCAGAGGGGACGCTGTTTAGTGAAAGCTGGATTTGGGGATGAAGGTTCAAGGTTTAAGGTTGCCGGGTGTCCCATGCGAGCATCCCAGCTGTCCTTGCTGTAAGTTCGGTCCGAATCCAAAAGCGAACCTGAACGATAAACCCAATAACTCTAAGCCCAGAGAGGGCCGGCATGCAGCGCGACCCAGTTCGGGAAGTCGTAAGATGGGAAGACTGCCATGTTCGGATGCCTCAGCAGCCCTACCCTTGCATCGTCAGCATACAGAGGAAGGGTTTGTGAGCTTTGGGGGCTTCGGACGATGTGTCTGAGGCTACGAAGCCATACTACGACATGTAGGTGTTCAGCTGCGGATTGCGAGGCCCGGTCTGGCAGCAAAAAAGGTTGTGACCAGTTGTGTTTGGGATGTCGCATGGTTGAGACCTACGCCGATATCTGCCCGGATTAGCTTTCTGGTGCTTTCTCCTTCTTACATGGCACCCATTGTAGCCTCGCCAGCCCGGAAAGCTGGATTAGCTTACGTAATCGAACTTGGAGAACCTGATTCCGGAACACTAGTTGTATCCTCTTGGTCTGACTTATACACCGGGAAAATTGCCCCGATGCAAGTAAGAGCCAATGGGCCACACACTAGTTGCTCAGGGAAAGGGGACACATGCCTGCGAGGCATCTGGGAGTTTCACAAAGCAGCCTGCAGTGTAAGGAACTGTTCGGCCAGCTAGGCTTCAGGAATTGCACAAACTTGAACAGCATTTCTTGAGGCTCGGGCCCACACGACGGTCTGAACGAACATTCAGTGCTTAGCACGAAGACCCTCGCCGCCCAAGCCCTGAATTCCCTGGCTTTACAGGCGCACCAGCAGCTGCAGGCGGAGTTCCCGCCGTATTTGAAGGACGTGATGGAGCCTCCAGCCGTGCTGCACTGACGGGCATCGACAAGATCCGGTAGAGGCATCGGCGACGGACGCAAGACATCAGGGACTTCACGTGTCAGCACCTCCGACAGCAGTACGGCTACACCGCGGAGGCTGCCCAGATCTTCGCCAGAAGCGCGCAGGTCGGGTGTCGGGCAGTGCACTGGCCATGATGCTTCTGGGTCCAGCCACTTTGCGTGGTGGGAGGACCAGTTCTCCTGGTTTAAGAGCATCAGAGGGCTTTGGAATGAAAGTTGACAAGCCGATATTCGTCTCCGGCCTAGCCTGCCATGCCATATGATCTGACGATCTGGCGGTGATGGACGATCTGGCGGTGATGGTCCAGCAGTTGCGCATGTTGAGCTTTGCAGCAAGGCAGGCAACGTTGTGTCGATGACTGTCGTCAGCAGCTAAGCTTAGCTGAGCCGCTCCGATGTTGGGCACAAGGTGCGCTTCTCGGCTCCATTTTGCTTCTCTTGGAAGGCCTGGGTGAGAGAGCCATTCCAAGAGATTCTCACCGCAGGCACCTTGAGGCCAACGTGCTGAGCACTGCAGCATATGACGATGAGCCGACTATTGCCCCATCAGTGAAGGAGCATACCGACAGCCAGCCTCCTGCGGTCGCACACGAGCCCACGAGCTCTTCCGACGACGAAGGTTTCTGTGGAGGCCGTGTGAACTTGCCAGAGTTATTGACCGTGAGGCAGGCTGCGCGTGAAGGCCTTGCATGGAGGTGCCCTGGCATGGCGCCTTCAAGCAATGCCACGAGCGAGTTCGGAATGGATGCAGAACAGCTGCAGCTTGGGCGCACTTCACGGGCCTTCGAGTCAAAGTTTTAAGGAGAACTGAGAAAGCTGCTTTGAACTTGCTAAAGCTCCCTTTTGGGGGAACTGCCTTCGCATTCAGGCCTGATGCTGATCCGGCTGTTTCAGCAGATGTGGAGCTTTCTTCGGCTGGAACAGCACCTCTCTCCTGCTCTCACGAATCGCAGCCGCTCAGCATATGCCGAAGACGAGAAGCGCTCGCACCATTTGCTGAAAACCAATCGAGCTGCTTGCTACTGGCAGGCTTCGGCTGATCGGACGCCAATCGTCCAGTATCAGTATAGCTGTACAACCATCCATCACCAGGTTCAGTTTGTACTACAAGCAGCAGCTATGGTGTGTATGATAAACGTGGTTCAAGCTCTCTTCGAGGTTGCTGCTACTTTCTACTGTTGCTACAACGACCATGGTTATGCTGTTATACCTTATCTCCCACCACTAACCTAGTAGTGTGCCTCATCACGACTGACATGAAAGGATCTCAGGAGATCATATTGCGCGGCACTGGGCAGCCTGCCAGTGCATTTTCTTGTATCCTTTGAACCGTGAAATGCAAGCGAAATAGACCACTTCAGACCAAAACTTACTAAGTATCACCACCTGCTGTCGCAAGTTTCTCGTGTTAGATGTGGAATGCTACCACACCATACGACATATCACCGAGCTCGACATTAAACTGCATCATAACAAAACATACTCACACAAAGACATCCTCTAGCGTACTCGTACACCTGCATCTAGCACGTGGTTCAATGACGGCGACAACCTCAGCTGCTGCTGATGAAGATGCTAGTACTACTGCTCGCATGTACCTATCACGAGTAGAGGTGCAGGACCGACGCGACGACAGCTATCACGACTACTGCTGTGCTACTGCTCCTGCTTACCGACTGCTTCCTCCCGACCTCGTACCAATACCTGAATCCTACTACCCCTTACTGACCTACTTCCTCCTACCTGCCACGTGCTACCTGCTACCTGTTAGCTACTGCTTACAACCTACGACACACAACCTGCTACCCACTACACACTACCTAGGCGGCCGCTGCTTCGAACTACTACTACTACTACTACTACTCCTCCTACTACTACTACTACGACTACTACTACTACTACTACTACTACTACTACTACTACCACTACCACTACCACTACCACTACCACTACCACTACTACTACTACTACTACTACTACTACTACTACTACTACTACTACCACTACTACTACTACTACTACTACTACTAGCACTAGTACTAGTACTAGTACTAGTACTAGTACTAGTACTGCTACTGCTACTGCTACTGCTACTATTGCTGCAACTCCTTAAACTCCTTAAACTGCTGCTACCATTGCGACGACGAGTTTGTTGCGATGTTTGCTCTTGTTCGAAGATGCCGTAGCGATGGAAATGATCACTCGCCGCAACAAGGCTGCTGTCATTGCGGTTCAACTGTTGATGTTAGCATGGCGAGGAGCCTGTCACCCCTGGTACTACTGTGATTGCTCATGATGCGCCGGGATGTTGTCAAGCAGGTTGTTACCCTAGAGGATGGCTCTCATTGATGTTCTCACCAATCACGAGTCCAGTGTCAGAGCGATTGCGACCCGTAGTGTCGCGCGGTCAAGGTCGCCACTTCGAACACGACCGTAGGAGCGGAGATGTCGAGCCAACGATCCCAAGCGCTTGAGCCCGCAAAAAAGCTGGTAGATCTGGGCACTAAACTCCCCTATACCAAGCTTGATCATGACAATTTTCAAGATGCATCTTGGCACATGTCGCCCCCTCATGGCTAGCTGAGCTCTGGGGAAGCGCATCGGTGCCTCGGCAGAGTGTTGTAGTGCCGAGGGTCCGATTGGTGAAGCTTCGCCCGGCAGCTTCTATCGATAGCGCATCTGTTTGACTGAAAAGGTTCTTCGGGGCTCTTGCTTCCAACACGGGGGTGAGAGATGTGGGTGCCTAGATTGAATAGAATGCATGCTCAGACAAGAAGAGCACAGCAACCGAGGTCGGCGGCCTCCGATCAATGCTGGTCGCCCTATGCGCATGCATTCCCGACGGTCAGGACCCCCGGGATTCCTTGTATGGAAGTTGACGGCAGAGTGGGGAGCCGCAACTTTGTTTGCGTCCACCGCTATGTGCTACTGTTCTTGGGGTTGGCTCTATTGGAGTTCTTGCGGTTGTCAGTTCGTTGTGATCAACCTCTTGACTGACAAGTTCTGGGTCAAGGACAAGAGCGCCAAGAACCTGCAAAGTGTCGCTCAGTGCAAAACTCCACCAAGTGACTAAGATATCTGAGAAGGCACTTGGACAAAACGACAGCTAAGAATCATCGCCCAAGACACCCGGCTTGCTGAGCTGTAACCGCACGCAGGTGATTCCAGAATCCAAGCAAAAGTACAGCATACACAAAAACACTTCAGACGACACGTGCAGCATCGAAGCCAAGATGTCTCTGCTCGTTGGTTCTACCGGAAGCCACCCCCTCTTGAAACACTCGGTCCGTTGGATGCAGTACGTGGCGGCTCCATACCGCCGAGTCAGTCTACTCAACTTCCTGAGCATGGCTGCGGGAGTTCTTGCTCTGAACCAGCTTTCCAATATGCACCCTCGATGGGCAGGTACACTCACTGCACATTTTCGTTAATCGGTCCATCATAACCAATAGGCAAACTGTAGGTGTCCCCGCATGTCCCGAATCCATTGATGCACCAACGAGGACAGCGACACCAACGATGTTCTCCAGTTTCACGAACTTCTTAACATAATAATCACTGAGTAGATTGTTTGCAACGTGTTTCTTGCTGTGCGGTGCCTGTGCAATCTGTCTTCAGTGACTCTGGTGCGACCAAACCCCGACACTATCTGCGGAAGTCTCAACGAGAGGGCAAGCCACTATGCCTTCGATCACTCACAAGATCTGCATTTTCAGGCAAACGCACGTGAAAAGAATCCACCCAATTTCACGTCTTTTGATATCTTCTCGGCTTGCAGGAAGTTAGCCAGTGCGCTGTGAAAGGCTTCCAAGCTGCTGAGGCAGAAGGGTTGCCGGATGCCGGTGGGTTTAATCCTGGTAGAAGGCCTGCCGTGGCATTTTAGTGTACTTGCCGCTGTGCTAGGTGTTACAGTGTTGTCTAACACTAACACGGACGATAGCGATGACAGAGAATGGGAGGATTCTTGTGACTCGCTTCAAGTTTTCGGGTTTCTTCCACCCATGACGGAGCCGGTTGGCATGCGGCTTGCTATAGACACTTGCCTCAAGATGACGAACCCACTTGAGGGTGGCTTACCCCACCTTGGACAAACTGCTGGGGTCGTAGTTCGACTAGGAAACACCTAATTTTGACTGTGGTTGCCACTGACATGCAAGGTTTCATTCCGCTCGAAAAATGGTTCCCTTGTGTTGATGTTCATGAGAGTACCAATGACCAAATTCTGTGACTTCAGAGTGCCGCAACACCGAAAGAGCACAGATAGGAGTATACAGTAGATAGTGTCACCAACCCGTGTCGACAACGTGTATCTAGCGTGTAGCCGGGGTGGCGAATTAGTGCTGCTCTGGTTGATGGCAGTGAACTGTTGCCTCTTTCCATGGAGAGCTCGCTGACCTCAGGATGCACTGAGATGCGACCGACCGCTGCCTCCGAGACGTGCCGGCTGCTCAGTGTAGAGCATTCCAGATGTGTTCGGTTGATGGTTGTTCCTGTAGTTCGGGCAGGACGAATGCAGCATGTCGAAGCCGAATTTCTGCAGAACACCCAATTGCTGGTCCTAAAACAGAACTGGCTGTGGAAGTCAACTCCCGATGTAGAAACAAGGCCCGGCATCTTCATACTTCGCATCGAAGCTCCCCCTGGCTCAGGAGGATGAGGTTTTCCCGGCCGAGATTGCAACAGTGGCCATCAAGCCCATGCAGCCACGAAAGCAGAAGGCCAGTCGTCCCCTTTGAAAAAGTTGGGTCATGCACCTGGAAAGACTCTTTGCTGTCTTGGTCTGCCGCCTGTTCTGGGCATTGTGGGACTGTTCGGGGCTAGGGCAGGCCGCTCTCCTCTGGGAATCGGAAGGCGAATCGGCAGAGGGTTCCAGCTTTCTTGAACACTTCAAGAAAAAGCCGTCGATGTATGGGCTTTACGTCACTTTCGCAACAAGTTCGTCAGCTCTTCAGTCCATGGTATCTTCTGGACTTGCAGCAACACAACGAGTTCGAACCCCAAAGAGCCCTCACTTCGCAGGCCAACCTCGTGAGCTTCAGCCCGCGCCTCTCGGAAGACCCAGACATCGCAGAGAAGCAGAAGGCGCCCGGGGCAGGGAATTCCGAGGCTTCGACGTCGAAAGAGTTGTCGACTGTCGGGGCTTTCGGTGTAGGGCTCTAGGGCTTCCGGATTCTGGATCAGAGAGTTCCCATAGGCCCTTTCGAAGCCTGAGCGTTGTTTAGGTTTCACAACAGGATTCCACCGAGCAAGATGATGCTGTACTGACTTTCAGGTCTGATGCATCCAAGATGTCATTTCGTCATGCTGCAACAGGGAATGCCGGCGAGCAGCTGTGTCCGAAATCTCAGCCAGGGTCGAACACAAAGGAGCTTTGATCCAAAGAGCACAAACACCTCCGTGTCTACGGGCCTCGGCAGCTCGTAGTCCCAAAGTCCAAAGTTTTAGAGTGAAGCACGCGAATCGTGCGCAGCCTTGGGTGGGCTTCCTGACGACGGAGATGGGAAGCGACGAGGCCGGGTTGCCAGGTAACTTGCCGAGGGTTTAGGGCTCAGCTTGTCAGAGCTGAGGAATCTTGGGGTTGCAAGATCTGATCGGGCAGATTCGAGAGCGGTTTGGAAAGCAGGTGCGTCTGAGCAGCAGTGGCAACTTCTAGTTTGTGGCAGATGGGTCTGTATGTAGGTATGCATGCACATACTCATGTTTCTGTGCGCCGTTGCCTGAGTGCATTTTTTGTACCGCATGAGCAGTCAGGGCAAACAAATCCATGCACACGCACATTACTGTACTACAGATATGTGCTTGAGGTTTTCCAGGCCATTTCTGCCAGGCTTTGCCTTCTCAAGCTCCAAGCCAAGCAACAGACTGTCGGCGCAGAGTAAGTGCAGCGGAGATTTCTCGCGCTCTCGACTGGAGTTCGTTCGGCTGGGCTGGTCTCGCAAGGCACCAGTCAACTTCCCAAAAAACTCCTGGTCCTTCCGAGCCCAGCAAGGCTGTGCGGACTTGGGAAGATGGCCGCATTTACCGGGGTGACTGGCACAAGGACCCAACCCAGTGTGCGGGAGTGAGCAGGAATAGCAAGGAGGAGTAGAAAGGTCGTAGCCTAACCAGACACAGTTTTGACCACAGGGTCAGAAGTAGCACCATGGGCTGAGAGCAGGAACAAGAGTAAGTATGAATGTTTGTGATCGGGTTTTGAGCCTGAGATGGAAATATCTGGCAGGGATGCATCACTAATGCTGATGACTGTAAAGTGGATTCCAACTACAAGAGCTTTTCTTCTTTCGTGCTTAGATTGGTCTGGAGAGTCCTTCAGCGCTTCCCCGGCGAGAGTTTATGACACTTCCGAATCTGAGATACCGAGCCTCCGATGTTAAACCCTGATCCGAAGCTCAATGAAAATCACTCTTTACGGCAGCACAGGATGGCTGGCCCGAAGGCCACGGGGAGTTGCGCGGGGCCCTGACCCAGCTAATATGAGGTCACAAGACTTCAACCATCAATCATCGTACAAGCATAGCAGTGGTGCTTTTAGTGCTGGTGCCATGGCAACAGTGGCAACGGCAGTGACGGTGGTCGTAGTAGTAGTAGTAGCAGCAGCAGCAGCAGCAGAAGTGCAAGTAGTGGTAGCAGTTAGTTGTTGATGGTACTGGTTAGTGGTACTGGTGGTGATGTTGTTGGTGGTGGTAGTCGTCGTCGTAGTAGTATTAATACTAGTAGTCGTGGGGGTAGTAGCAGCCGTAGCTGGAGTAGCAGGAGTAGTGGCACAGCAGAACTGGAAGATGTAGTATCAGTATTAATGTTAGTATGAGCAGGCGCATTTGTGTTCGTATTACGGTATTAGTATTCGTGCTCGTATTCGTAGTTGTAGTAGCAGTGGCAGTGGCAGCAGCAGCAGCAGCAGCAGCAGCAGTAGTAATTAGTGGCAGTGGCGTCGGCAGTAGCAGTAGCAGCAGTAGCAGTAGCAGTAGCAGCAGTAGGAGCAGCAGTAGTAGTAGTAGTAGGAGTAGCAGTAGCAGTAGCAGCAGCAGCAGCAGCAGCAGCAGCAGCAGCAGCAGCAGTAGCAGTAGCAGTAGCAGCAGCAGTAGCAGCAGCAGCAGCAGCAGCAACAGTAGTAGTGCAAGTACTAGTGATACCAGTGGTGGCGGTGGTGGGTGGTGGTATGGTAGTAGTGGTAGTAGTAGTAGTAATAATAATAATAGTAGTAGTAGTAGTAGTAGTTGTAGTAGTTGTAATAGGAGTAGGAGTAGGAGCAGGAGGATTCGTAAGTAGTAGGAGTAGCGAGTGGAGAAGTAGGAGTGGTGGTGGTGGTGGTGGTGGTGGTGGTGGTGGTGGTGGTGGTGGTGGTGGTGGTAGGAAGAGCATCATCGCGATCGTCGTCATCATCATCATTGCCATTTTTCTGATTGCTATGACGGTTGTGTTTGTTTCAAATGTTGTCGCCATCACGGGACTTTTGAAGGGACGCAACAGCAGCCATCGGATTTTCCACGGTACACAGTAGGGGCAACAGTTGCAACCGTAGTCCCTTCCGGAAGTCACCATGTAGCATGTGCTGATAGCAAGAGTGACTACCATTCCAACTCTAATCGTGCTAATAATTCATATGCACGTCTGAATAGATAGCAACACTGTTTCGTAGGTTTCCCTTACAATATTCACTTATGCCCTCAAACCCTGTTGACATGATCGCCAAGATTGCGACGCCTACATTGTCATCATGGCGGGCTGCATTTGTATAGTCACCTTAGTGTTAAACTTGAAGGCACAGTGTTCGAAAAGAGCGCAGCCCACATGACTCTCACGAACGTCCACCCAGGACGCTTGCCGGTCCCAGTGGTGGCATCCTACGAGGCGCAACGGATTGAAACCAGCGTCGCCACCATCAGCATCATCATCACCCCTCATTTCCCATTGCCCTCACCACTGTTGGTACTGCGGTCCGTGACTACCTCCCCGCTCCTGCCTACTATGAGCTATTCGCTATTCGTGTCCGCGCTGTGCCTCGCTGTCACTACCGTAGTTGTCCCTTGACCCATACTGGCAAAGAGTATCTGGCGGGATGGCGGAAGTATTCCGGTTCCGGAGCATCCTGGGCTGTCTTGCATTGTCGTGGTGGTAGCATCGTCATCGCTCTTGAGTTGCCGGCTTCTCCAGCAGGATGTGTCGGCCTGCAGCTTGATCCAGACCCCCAACATCCAACTAAGTCATGTACAGAGTGTGTACTGTCTATGTCTGTATGCATTCAATCATGTATGTATGCTGTGCGATTGTATGGATGTGTCGCTTGTGAGCCTTGCATGCGCACATGCAAGTATGTAGGCTGTGATATACTTCGATATTTCTGGTAGCACTTACTAAGTGGTGTGTTCTTCAAGTTTTCAGCAAGTTGTGCGAAGTGTTGTCTATCGCATACCTTGCACGTGGCGTGCAAATCATGCAATGTCATTCTGGGCTTATGAGTGGTTTGTACATGCATGCATATACACCAGCGGACATACGTGCCTTCGCGTAGCATATATGCACACGAACAAAACAGGACAGATATTGTTTTTGATGACGGAGATTTCGGCGAAGGGTTTAGGTCCCAATTGACTGTGACAGCAACGGATTCAAACAGGTATTGGCCTGAAACGGAATAGTAGTGCAACTTGGAACTGTTTGCTTGTAGATACCACTGGGTTTGACAGCTAATGCAGGTGGTGGTGGCCAGCACTATGATGAATGTTGTCTTATAGCAGGATCACTTGCGCAACTTTCGACGCAGGTCAGTGGCTGAATGGGAAGATGCTGGAGCCACGGGGTTTAGGTTGCGTGTGTAAGGTTGCCAGGGGCGCTTGGGCGGCTGGGTCTTGGTGTCTCGAGGTACAAGTATCTTAGTTAGAGTGTTGGAGTCAAGGTACAGGACTTGGTGATCAGGCGCCGAAAGTTTCGTCTTAGCGACTCCAGCCAGAGTGCTGCTGCAAGTCTTGTGATCCGGTTGAGTTTCTTGCCTCGTTTTCATGTGGGGTCACTGAAACTAATGTTTGGAGAGCCGCAGCTTTAAGACCTCCGACTTTCTTTTTGCGTCAGTAGACGCTTGTGTGCACCTGAGGCACGGCGAAGGGGAGTTTGTGACAAAGTGGCTTTCGGCACGTTTTCGGGACCGCATCTTTGGCAAAGAGAGGTTTAGTTGAGGTCTGAAGAAGTTTCTTCAACCGACAGATTTGAGGCTTTTGGGCCGATTTATGGCTTTGTACTTGCCTGAGTAGTGGATGAGATGTACAGGGATGAAGTTGCGTGACGCTGCGAATCAAAACGACAGGTCCGGTCATCGCTACGTTGGGCAGTGGGCTGAAGGCTCCAAACACGGAGAAGGAGAGTGGCCCTGCTCGTCTTTTGAAAGTGCCCGGCAACTTATCATTCCCGGGCCAGTCACCCTCGGTCGCCTCTCACAAGCCTGTGTCTTGGTGGGTCAAACCAGCGGCAATGCGAAGCTTTTTCCATGGAATGTGAGTATGGCGACTCTACTTGAGGCATTGTCGACACGACGCTGCTTACGGCTTGCAGTTAGGGCTCGGCAACTGAAGTCTGAAGTCCTTGAGCACCGCCTCGTTCCGCTGCAAAACACGAACTTCAGATCGCCCGGCCATGGTGCTGGGGTCTTGGCCGATGTTGACGTCATGGTGAGCGGCGTTTTGAGCAGGCCATACAGGTCCGTGGCCGTGGCACACTGAGGAAGTATTATCATTTGTTATCAGTAACTACTATTGTTAGTGTTATTGCTCCAATTGGTATTTACTAGTATTACAAATATTACTATTACTACCAGTATTGTTGTTAGTATCTTTGACCAGGAGCAGAGACGTGGCCTGATGGCACACGGTTCCAGGGCATCTTTGCGCTCGGGACCTGGGTGCAGATATGTGGGCGTTGAGGGGCTTTGGGCCTAAGGTTTGGCTTTTAATCACTTAATGAGTCTAAGGGGTGTCTAAGTTTGAAGATGTGATGGGTCAGGGTGTTGTAGGGATTATAGGGTTCTACAATTTTGGGATATTGAGGCTTGGAGAGCACTGGTTCTCGGAGAGGTTGCTGTAGTTGCATGGATGGCGTGATCTAACCCACGGATCAGTCGCGGAATGCGTCCTAGACAGGCGAATGTTTCGTGTAGCACAGATGTCGCAGATGCATCGACTGTTGATGTGCTCCTGCCTTTCTGTTCTGAAGTTGCGATAGTGTTGTTTTCTCAGTCGAGTACAGCGCTGTGGTCGTGCACCACCAACACGCTAGCAACACATCATTTCTCATGAACGAGTTGTGGTGCATTTCATCATCATGTTATTCTGGTCGTTTCTGCATGGTGTTCATATCAAACACTGCTGTGATGCCTTGCCTTACAAGCAGCCTCCCCACGGTAGACATCGACTAATTGGGATTCGGTTTGCGTCGCACGTGTTTTTTGCTTTGTGCGTCGCAGTGTTGGAAGAACTTGCTTCTATACCCTCGTATAACCATGCTTCCATGTGGGCTTACTCGTTACAAGCTTGCATTACTGCATGATAGCAATGCAGCCGCTCAGCGCGAAGGCCCAGGAGGCTCGTCCAGACTTATGGGCTTTGGAACTTCGAAGATCTTTGGGCAATTTTTAAGGCAGGGCCGCCATCAATGCGGCGCGTTGCGGATGCCGCCGGAGCCCCAACAGCTAGGTGAATGATCTCTTTGCTGCGCATCTCCGGGGTCACGATTCAGTTAACAGCGTTAACTTGGACAGCAGCGAGTCAGACCCAAGAATGATTTTGCGACGATGGTTCGGTCGACGCATTGGAGTAGTTCGCCCCCAAAAATTGCTTGGATCTGGTACTGCATTACATCCAGCTATGTGGTGTGTGTGTGTGTGCTTTTGCCAACACTTCCGTTGTTTTCGAGGCCGAAAGGTTCTACTCGGATTGGATTGCAGGGTGCCTTCGTTCTGTGTTGCCGTTGCGATTTCAGGCAGCAGCTGCAGGAAGCAATTGCATAGACGAGTGCAACCTCGTGTACGGTATTTAGACGGCAGAAACTCTTGCAATAAAGGGGACATGGGCCGGCTTGGAGGCAAACGATAGCCTGGACAACAATCTCCCCTGAATTTAGCATCCAAACATCGTCAACACATGTTCTCCAAAGCCCAGTGCGGCCGAGTCAGAAGCGACACAGAATCGCGCAGGAAAGACCTTCAAGCAGAACTGCCCAAATCCTCACACCTCATACCTTTCAAGTCAAGTGTTTGTAGAAGCCCTGCAGGTCAGGCGTAGTTCGACGCATACTCGACTGAGTCCTTTACGAAGGGGAGTCAAGCATGCAGGCGCGGCATCTCTAAGACGGCAAATACTATACGTACTATACGTACCCCCCAAACCTTAAAACTCAACCCAGCTTCGAAAGGAAACCATCCAAATGCTTGCTTGTGGTGGCTTCTGGGCTTGCGGGATGTTTTGAGCATCTTTGCCACTGGGAAGACCGTCCAATGCTGTGCGTATGTTTCAAGCCGTGATGGTAGCCTTTCTATTAGTGCAAGCATCTTAGCTGACACAAGCATGTTTCAGCAAGCATGGACCCAGTGTACACTTATTCGATGTCGAAGGAGAGATGTGCCTTTGTTAATGACCGCGCTGGGGCAAAGTCCCGATGTAGCGTAGGATAGAAAGATGAGTCGAAAAGGCGTTGCGGAAGCGACTTCGGCACAGAGCAGCTGCAACAACACAACAATATTCGTAGAAGGACACGAGGAAGAGAACCGACTGTTTTCGCAGCGCAGGGTTATAGAGACTCCTTAGAAGTCTTGGTCGGCATCCTTCTGACAGCGCTGTCGGCTCGAACTCAAACTTTTCGACATGCTTTACGAGCTTCAACAGAAGCTAGCTGGCAGCCCAGCAGTACAACTGAGTACGTCTGAAATCCGTGTATATAGCTTGGTGTGCAACGGTCAGATACGCGTGCGAGTATGTGTGTGCATTGACATGCAGACGCGAATGCGCAGTTTTAACGTCAGTCGGCTGTTTCACGCAATGCTCCCTAGATTGCAGGGTTCCACTACAGACATCGTTAGGCCACCTTACACCCCGACCGACCTTCGTCACGCCACAGCCGATCAGAGTCAGAGTTCAGGGCTTTGGGCCTAAAGGGCCCGAGCCATGGGCCAGCAGCCCAGCGCGCCTGAAACGCGGGTCTCCGCGAAGAAGCTGAAGGCCTGCCATGGTGGGCCTGGTTGGAGAGCAAGATCTGTTGTTACCGGCGTGTGCTGCCTTCTGCACAGACAACATGTGCCGGGCTAGCACAAGTCGGGGACCCTGCAATCCTTCCCACTCAGATGGTTCGTTTTCCTCGAATGGCTGTCATGGCCTTGGCAGTGGCGTTTCAGTGGTATAGTTTGTGCGAGTTCAGCCACTGTGTGTGGCATCTAAAGGCTAAGTCACACAAACATGTTCCATCTCGCGTCGAGCAGGGTTCCGAAACTCCTGAACCTGGGCTCGACAGACGGTGGCAAAGAAGGGGAAGCCATCACTACAGCCAGGAGCTCTGCTGCAGAAGACTTGCGAGCGCACGCGTCATCGTCCTGCACACGCCCTACATACACAAACACCGAGTCAGAAAGAAGCCCTAGGAACCCCCCCCCTTAGCCGAAAAAACGGCAGCCGCGAATAGCTTCGAAAGAAGGCCTTCGAGATTCTCGGGCTCTACACTCAGCTCGAAGCCGCCCTGGAGAAACCCACGGGGCCCGCTGACGTCGGCCAGCCCTATCGGCAGCGACTCGCCTAAAGAGATCTCGTAAACTTTACACTTCGCCCTGAGTTCCGAGGGCCGAGGTTCTTAAGAAGAAGTATTCGTAGCATCTTACTGTGAGCCCCTTCTGATCCACTCTCCTGTGCCTGCTCTGAGGATCGTTGCCTGGTGCAAGGCGCACGCCCTTGATCTCGACCTGGAGGGAGTCCTTGAGATCCTGGCTTCCGAGGTGCTTCTAGCACTTGGGGATCGTGGTTAGGCTTGTGGTGTAGATCCTGAAAGTCTCCCTCCATCGTCCGGCTTCGGCAGCACGCAGTCTCTCATTCCTTCTGACTTCGTTGCTCGAAGACTTTACCAGACCGGGCCAGTCTGTGCGCATGAGATCAAGACCGAAACGCCCTGAGTCCTAAACCTTAAAACTTGCGTCATGAAGCCTGGAGTAGAGCATTGAGTTGAGCCGTGCAGCCACGCGGACTTCAGCACTTCGCGAGGAAAGCGGCTATCCGCCCTGGCGTCGGCTCCCGGACAGCACACACAAGGGCTTTGCCAGAGAGCTGTGTTTGAGCAGACCATTTCGGAGGGATGAAGGCACCTGCAGCATTGGCATTGGGCACAGCTTTTAGGGTGTAGCGCTTGAGGAAAGGTTTCGTATTCGCTTGAAGCCAACCTTCTGTTTTGCGGCAGCTCTCGAGCCCGACTGCTTCCGAGCTCGCCGCTCGAAAAGGTTCGAAACTCCGAGCCTGCAGCCCCTGACAGCCCAAATCCACTTGAGGGGGCCAGTACCTTGCTTCAATTTGGGATCTGGATTCCCAGGCAGGCCCTTGAAGAGGCATACCGGCTCCTCTACGACGAGGCCGCGATTGCTAGCGCAAATCGCCCTTGCATGAACTGGCTACGCCGTATCAACCCTCAAGATAGTCCTCATGTTTACAAGTCCTGAACATGTCTCTTTAATTCGGGCCGCTTCGACTGAAGATCCTTCATCAATCAAGCCTAAATCCAGCAATCTTCTTTTACTTGCACCCCCTGACGCCCGAAGGACACCCCAACAAGCCTTAAACCACTCGGAAAACCTTACACCAGCACCCGCAAGACGCCTTCGAGCCCCCAGCACCCCGAAACAAAACAAAAGCCTTCCCAAACCCCCAAACCTGCCCTAAAACTTCCCAAGACCCTTCCAAACTCAAAGAGGCCGCGTCCTCCGGCTCTCTAGCCCTGGATCGACTCCCGGAGCCCCCAACTTCGGAGGACCCGGAGTTTATTCAGCTGGTGAAATCCGTGTATCAGAGGTGCATTAATATATATATATATATATATATATATACACACATTGTATCATAGCCTATCATACTATATTATAGTATGTTATGCTGCAAGGCAGCTTGCGAACTTCACTGCTCGAAGGATGCTTTCGGGTGAGTTTGGGTTTCGGCGAGTTAGGGGCTTGGGGAGTTTTGACTTTCGTGTTGAAGGGTTGGGCATTGACAGTTTGGGAGTCGAGCCTTTCGGGTGGAGGGGTTGGAGAGTTGCGGGTTTCGGGTCAGCAGGGGTTTGTCGGTTTTAGGAGTTTGGGGTCGAAGGTTTACCGTAAGCGTTTTGCAGGTAGAGTGTCGGGTTTATAGGGTATGGGGGAGCAAGTTTAGGGTTTCGGGTGCAGCGGGGTTGGGGAGTTTGGGGTTTCGGGTTTCAGGGCTCGTCTGGGCTTTAGGCGGTTGGGCAGTTCAGGGTTTCGGGTGCAGGACGGGGTAGTTTGGCGTTTGTGGTTCAGACAGCGGGTTCAGGCTTCGAGTAGGGAGTTTGGGTTTAGGAGCTGGGACTTGTACAGAGGGGGCGTGTGGGTTCAGGGTTGAGGGATGTTGGGGATTTTGCGGGTTCTGCGGGTTCGGGAGTTTGGGGGTTGGGGCGTAGGGCAAGATTTTGATTCAATTTTGGCGTTTAGGGTTTAAGTCTTAAGTGGTTGGTGAGTTTTGGGTTTAGGCTGCGGGGTTGAGGGTAAGATCTATCAAAGGGGTTGCAGAGTTTGGTGTTTAGACTTCGTGGGATGGGGTGATTGGGGCTTCGATTTTCGGGTTTAGCGTGTGTTTCAGTTAAGCTTCTGTTGCTTGAATCGCTTGGCCTGGGGAGTTCAGGTTTCTGGATCTAGGCGGTTGTGGTCTCATGTTTTTCGGGTCTACGTAACCGGGTTTGCGGTTCTGGGTTTTGTCGTGATACTTTTCAGGAAGTCTCCAGGGCGAATTTCGATTGCAGCATTTATTTGAAGCCCCCAGCCAAGGCGTTCATGTAATGCTGCTAGCTGTTAGGCCCTGTTCGGCTTCATGCGTCGCCCTCAAGTGGAGAGGACCTTATGTGGCTTATGCCAATTTCCGCTAGGGTGTCAATATGATGTCTGTCTTTTCATTCTAATTGCAGTAATTCAGTAGGTTGGGCAAGATAGAGCAAGTGGAGGACTGGGGAACCCTTGTTTCTCAGAGGCTACTGAGTCACTGAGGCATCTTGATGGACGGGGTCTTTCCAGGGCCATGTATGTCAATCAGTAGCTGGGCCTCCCGGATTCGTTATCTGCATTGTGTACTATACAGGAAGCAGGACGGGCAGGATTGTCATCCATCAACACCTATGCCGCTGGCAATTTCCATGGTGAGCTGTGCCAAAGAGTTGTGATAATAGGCTCTGCTCGGATATCTTCAAATTCGCCGTTCTTGGTGTCACTTGTAAGTTTATCAGGAGCCTTCACCTCTAAGCCAGAGGTAGACCCACGCGGCTCCTTCGATCCTATCAGCGGAACCCCCCGGGAAGCCCCAAAGACTGCCAGGAGATTGGCTTCCGGCCTTTGCCCGAAGCCTTGGTCTCGGGGGAGGCCTACAAGCAAAACTGCTACGCAGGAGCCGAAATCCCTGCAATTCTGCAAGAGGGCTTCGTGAGTGAGATGCTGTTTGTGAGACTTTAAGAGACATTGAACTGATGTCATGTTTGCACATGTTTGCACTGCTGACCCACAGCGGCAAGGATATCTTATCTAGCAAATCTTGGCCATGGCCCGCTTGAAAGAGGATGCTTTGAAGACCAAAGCGCCTGGAGAATGTACCGTCGAAGATTTGACTACGAGATCTACCGGGTCAACGCGGCAGGCAAGGCCTCCAGACTCTTAGGGACGGAGAGACACACTGGGTCAGGTCCTGTAAGGTAGCTGTGGGTACTGCTATAGTAGTCGTCGTGGTAGAAATACACGTCGCCGTTGTCACGTGACGGTGGTGGTGCGGCTGCTGGCAAGGGCGGGGGGTGGTCGTCATCGAAGTAGTCGTCGTTGTTATTGTTGTTGTCGCAGCAGCGGAGGTGGCAGAGCTCATCGGCTCATCGTCGTCGGAGTTGTATTGATTAGCAGTTCGTGGTTGCTGCCGTAATAACGTGGTCACAGTGGCAGCGATAGTGAGTGGTCGTCGCCGTAGCAGTGACAGCAGCAGCTGCAAGTCTGTGGTACTACCAGCCGGGGCAGTGGTTGCATTTGCAGGTTTCGTGGCTGGTCGGAAAATCGTTTCCGGGACGCAAACGCGATCCTTGTCTACAGTTGGAAGTGCTGGCTGCATAGCGGCTGCATATGGCTCGGCTAGCTTTTTGAGGAGGAACCCTGTACCCTGCAGGGGGCATTGCCTGGTACACCGTGCACACCGTAGGATTTACAGCCAGGGTTCTGCCGACTCCCATCATCGAAATCCTGCTCGTCCGAAAACCAAGGAAGTGTCTGTGCCGCAGATGTGGCATCAAAGGCCTCCTTGATGTGACTGCATCGTTACTGACAGCGAATCTGCATTGGCAGTCAAGCTGCAGAGGGCCCTTTGTTTTCAAGATTTAAGGTTTCGGGGTCTGTCTCCTCCGGAAGGTTGCCGAGACGCTGCTGCCAGATACTTGCTGCGTGAGCCGGGAGGAGCAGTACAAGTGCACAGACCAACGACGGTAGGGTGGCGATGATACTGGCTGTGATCTTAGATGCAGTAGCTGTTGCAGCTGTTGCAGCAGACTCGACGTATGATGATCATGTGAAGCCTTGGGCTGCTGCGAGGACATGTACTCGGCCAAGGGGCCGTTTCTGCTGCCCAAGGGTTCACGTGGGCAGCCGCGGCTCTTGGGGCTGCAAAACCATTCAGCACCATCATGATGTACCTCCTCCTCCTCCGCCTCCTCCTCACCATATTACCATGCATCAGTATCACCACCAGGAGCATCAACATCGCCGTCATCACGAGCGTTTCTCCTTGTGTATTTGCTTTTGGCAAGGGTGGGGGTTGTGGGCTTGCTGCATGCAGTGGATTTGCGGGTCTCTGATTGTGGTGCAGCTAGGGACTGGGGACGGTCCGAACACGGGCTAGCTTTCGATGCTTAGGTTATGGATTGGCTAGCGCCCGTGTCACAGAAGATTGATGGTGCCCTGGATGTCTTGCTTGATGTACTCAGTGTTGCGCACGTGCTCCCGGCCCTCCGAGTCCTTTTGAACTTGCAGAACTCCAACAGCTGCTATGACTCGGTTGCTCAATAAATTGAAATGAAGTCCTGCACAGCGGGATCGCCAGAACTGGGAAACTTACGACAAGCATGGCTGCCGTCATCCGACCGAGTTTGTACTTGCGCCAAAACCAGACAATGCTGCGAACTTCGGTCATCAGCCCTGCGATTTCAGAGCGTATGCCGACGAGGTGGGCGCCGCCGGTGGGAGATGAGGAGACGTTAGCACCATACCAACTAGTAATAATAGTAATATGAACATCATTACTATTATTGACTATTAGAGTATCACTGCTTTTCTTACAAATATGATGATTCTTACTCTTACTATCTTTGTTTCACAGGGGTCGCGGTTGCGCTCCACCCCAAGAAGTTCACTCAGCGACCATCGCCTCTATCCACTCCCTCATCCCAGAACAGCGGATCCCTCCATTTACGAGCAACATTGAGCAGCAGTGTTCTGACGGTTCGATGCAGAACGCTGTTGGACATTTCTAGCAATCGGATAGTAAGGTAAAGCGTGTTAGTTGCTGCACCACTTGCTCTAGATACAAATCTCAGATACGCTGAATTATCATGTAGACGGTCGGGAGCTGCGGTACGAGCCGTCAGCAACGTCGCCGCCTTATTTACATCGTTCTCCTCGTCGTCGGCTTCATTTTCACCGCTGTATGTCACGACCTGTGAAGGAAATGAGCAACTCTTTTGCCTCCCACCACACGAAGGCTGGGGCTAGCAGCCTGAGTGTTGTGCCTGCTTCGTGCTCAACCCCAGTCGACGCCGACACCCACACAGGTGCTCGAACCGCTTCACTGGGAGGCGGGGCCGCCTCTGCTCGGTAGAAAAATGAGGCGTTCCCCCCAGGCCAAGCTCCCAATTGAATTGCTTCTCGTGTGCAGTGGTGCAAGCCATCAGGCTGTTCAGCTTGCATCGCGAATGCTATACTGCTGTACAGTCAGCACCTGTGCATTTCGAGTATCCAGTTGGAGTATTGCCGGTAGCACTGTATGCTTTCAGCGCAGTCATGAGTGAATGCAAACAGACGGAGATGGAAACCCTAGCCGGATGGACGATCGGCAAGCAGGCAATGCAAAAGAAAACACCGACATACTTAACCCAAACCTGCCTTCAGCACAAGCTGATTCCTTAAACCTAAACTCCCCGTGCTCGCTCCTTCCGCGAGGACGGCGAAGTCCCTTCCCAGCGCGGCCGTTTGAGTATGCCTGGTCACACAGGAGGCGTCAGAGGGTAGGGGTGAGGGGCTGTGAGTGTTCTGACTGCACGTAGGAGCCTCCTACTCCCGATCCTACACACCGAAAACATCTTGCGAAAACAGCAGGCGCAGCAGACCCTGATACGGAGCTCGAATCTTCATGGCAGCAATAAAACTTGTCAGCAATCACAAAAATCTGCTTGTACGACGGGAGCCATCGAGAGTCTCTAATCCCACACAGTTCAGTTGTCGGAATGATCAGTCGCGCCTGACCACTGAGTCTGCGACAATCCCAGTCCCTGTGTCTCCCAGGATCGTCGCGCTAGGCTCGTCACGCTAGGAGCCGGTGCTTCCAAAGGAAAATGCGTGCTGGCTTTAGGGATCCTCTTGCAGTGTTGAAGTTCGAGATTCGTCGTGCCCGGTGGTGTTCCTCAGCAGCAGTGCAAAGGCAGTAGATGAGAGGTACACCGGGCAGCATCATCGTTATCGCAACTGCTGACAACAAAGCAACATGAGCTGCGGAGTACCCCCTTAAAGGTTCACGAAGTTAGCTGCAATATTCGTTCCAACCCCGACGACAACGACAAAAAGACAGCCGGCAACAGCAAGAGCAGCCAGAAAAGTACCCTTTCGGTTGGGATGTGAGGACTGAAGGATTGCGAGCAGCGAGAATAAAACGCTTCGAGCCAGTCCTTCATGGCTCTTGTTTTCCGCTGTGCTGCAGTGCTGCTGGATCTCAGACATATTTGCATGCCTAGAGTACAACGACTCGACATCATGGTAATCATGCCCTGGAGAGGAGCTGCGAGCTGAGAGTGACACGTACCGTAGTCAATCCAGGGTGCGGCAGGAATGTAGGGGAGTATGCCGTGCATGAAGCACTGGACATCCCATACGGCACGCTGCAGCCTGTATCCTCTACAGAAGATTACCACCCAACATCGTATTAATCCGTCTCAGGGACCCCCCATGATGATGTCAATGTGCACAGCGCCAAGTGTCCCCCAACAAGCTATGTTGCTGCAATGAGCGCATCACGCCGCGTGAGTGCCACGCTGGTGCACAGGAGCGTAGGAGTTGGCGGCTCTTGAGTGTGTGCCTAGTGAGACAGTGAGAGGCAGAGTTCATGAAAGGCCTTTTGCTGAGTGGTGCTTAAAGAATCCGCTTGAAGGCTAAGGCGGCCCTGGACCAAGGGCCAAGGGCCCGGTCCGGGCCTGCGGGTTTCGACCCGCACTGCACACATTCCAATTCCTCTTTGTGTGTGTGTGTGACTCTCTAGTTGTGCCAAGCCCAAGACTGCCCTGGAACTGCGCAGGAAACCTCGGATTTCGCTTCAGGAGGTCTTGTGCCGCGCCTGCGCTAGCAGACTAGCATGGATGCCCCGACATTGGAGTCTTGAGATTTCTTGTGTGCGAACTTATCTTCGTGCTCTGTTTGCTTCACTGCAGCCATGGAGCATATTCTGTATGTATACATGCCTGGGAGCACGACTCTCCTTGTCCCTGTCCGAGCGCCCAGGGTCGATGAGGATGTCGCATCCGAGCGCTTCCAAGACAGCCTCCGAGATGCCGGGGGCTTAGAGCAGTTTCCAAAGCGACCCCGCGGGCGGATGTGAGCTTTGAGAAACAACCTGGGTGTTCACGGAGCTTTGGGACCAGAATTTTCGGGGTGTAGAGTGTAGGCTTGAAGCATAGATTGAAACCTGGCCTAGTCTAGTGCAGTATACTATAGCACTCTCTGTTTGGGATTCGATGTCACGGGATGTCACGGGGGCGAGAGCACAGGCGTTTCCGCCACCAGCAGAGGATGTTGGCAATTTTTCAGGGTTCCAGGACCGCGATCCGAACAGGGGTACAGGTACAGGGTCCGGATGTTTTGACGACCTCAGCAGGCCAACGGTAGATATCGCGAGTTTCAGGAGATCGACCTGGATTTTTCACTCTGAGCAGAACTGGCTAATGGCAACATCGTTACAGCATATTCCGACTTTCATTCACATACATGACAGAGTGATTCGCAGTCAGGCACTGGTGAGACAAGCCACAGACTGTCTATCCCGCTATGCTGATACCCTGTGGGGCCGGAAGGGTTGCGTACTGCAAGAATCTCAAATGATTTGTGATTTCGGAATACCCGCACGCTAACTGAAGCAGCCCTCCTAATTTTAACGCTACGCCGCCCGCCTCGGCTCTTCTTTAGCGGACGGCGAGGGGCAGGGAGGCCTCTCAACCCCAACCTTTGCCTTTTCCATTTTCCATTGCGCTACCTCGCTGCTCTTCTCCTTTGGGAGAGGGGGGAGGGGGGGGGAGGCCTACAAATCATGTAAAATGAAGGGAAGCCGGGCAAGGGGGCGGCAAACGAACGCAAAAAGCGGGTGTCTTCAAACAATTCAAACTGCAGGAGGAAGGATTAGGTGGAGGGAACCTGATAACCCTCAAGACGCCTGGGCCTGTGGCCTCGGTGGACTTTTTGAGGTGTTACAGCACATATTTTCAGCTCGAAGCATGCGAAGCTTTCGGTGATTTGTGTGGTGTTCGCCCGGCCACGGGTCGCGAAGGTCTTGCGAGAGGCCGACAAGACAGAGCTCCTTCAGAGGCATCAACTACGGTGCCTGGCATCTATCTATAGTCCGTGTTACTGTCCCACAGTCCACGAGTCCGATCCTCGGACCTTGTTACCAGACTCCTTTCTGGCATCTTCTGGCTAATGTTAGATTAGGGCTTCGAGATTCTAGAGCCCTTGCAAAAGGGATCGCGCGTTGAAAAGGTTCAAAACAATCAAGGCCAGTCGTTTTCCCAAAAGCAGATTAAAGGTTTGAGTGCCATCCTCATCCCTCCCCGGCAGGAGCAGAAGAGAAACGCACGCACATATACAAACACACACACACACACACACACACACACACACACACACACACACTCACACTCACACTCACTCACTCACTCACTCACTCATTCTCTCGCTCTCTGTCCCTCTCCCTCTCTCTCTCTTCCGCTTTCGCTCCCCTCGCGCTCTCATACTCTCATTGTCTCCCTGTTTGCCCCATCTCCTTGTCAATACCTATGGGGGTCTCGATGTTCATAGGTCTCAGTCCCTGGAGCCAGCCAAACACAGAGTATCTTGATCATGCACCTTCGCAGTTCAAGGACCGGGGCTACATACCTGTATGGCTATATCTGCCAATCCCTCTCTCTGTCCGTCTGTTTGTCTACCTGGCAACTACGTTCGCATAAGCAAACAGACATACATGCACAGCAGCGTATGCCGCGCATGTATATGTATCTGTATGAAGTGCATCTGCAAAGCTGCGTGTCTCTATATGCCAAAGGCGCACTAACGGAGACCTCCGAGATGCATAATTGTATAGTCGTATGTACATATAAACCCAACTACAGTATGATGGTACTACTCTCACACGCTCGCGAAGGCCAAAGACAGTCGTAAAAAATGCACTGCCCCCGAGAAAGAGAGTCCACCCGAAAGCCCGGGCCAGGCTGGGGGCAGCTGAGGCCTCGACGCTGCTGGACCCTCTTCAGAGAGGGTTTCCGGTTTTGGGTTTAGGAATGGGCGTAGGGATTCAAAAGTCTTGGGCTTCGAGGTTTAGGGTTCAGAGGGTTTATGGGTTCCAGAGTCTCGGATGTACAGGCTGATGCTTGTGGGACGACAATGTCCGACCGGGCGCTGGCTGCCGCTAGCCCACCCCTCGAAGTTTCAATCGGACAGCCCTACAGCTTGAACCCGGTCATCCACAGGTCCACTCAGCCCAAAAAGCTCCAAGAACCCGAACTCCCACGCTAAACCAGAGTTATGACCAGCCCGCTCTAAAAACAATTCGAAATTCGAGGACCTCCTCGCCTCTTGCGCCTTGGAGGAGGCTGAGAGTTCGGTCAGTCAGGCTTTTGGAATTGTCGAGCCCAGCAGTGCAAGAGTATCTGTTGTTCTATATTCGGCTGTATCTGGTTATAGAACTTAACGTAGTGTTGTAAGCAACTAGCATCGATTGTTTCATAGTATTCGGTACGTACGAGCTGCAATTATCAAAGTTATCGTTGTCGGATACTAGTACATTGTCAGCATTGCTATAAGTACGGATGCTCTTGCTGGTCATCTGATTATAGTTTGCTGTGTGTTTATTGTCATCACAGGCTCAAGCATCGTGTGTTCTCTTGAGGCTGCCCTGTTGGAGGAGAGGTTGAACGGAGACCTTGACTATATGTGAGGATGGAAAGTCCAAACATTGAGCGACCTGGCAGGCGGTGGTGCCCCGACTGCGGAGACTTGGCAGCATAGCATGGCCACGTTGTTTGCAGTCTTTGCAGGACATGTTGGCAGCGTCGGGTGAGGTGTCGCATCTACTACCGCAACTTCGACTCGAACTCTTTTGCCAAAGAGGACCAGTGGCCCGTTTCAACTCTTCTGCGACTCGTGCTGCTACGACTCCGGACTGTCTGGGCTGATTCACGTCTCAGGACGCAGGGTTCGAGTGTGCACCCAAAACTGCGACCTTCTGCCAGGGCTCAGAGGCTCTTCTCCGCAGCCTGTCCGGGGAGAAGGCCGCAGCTTCCGGTTGGATAAGGCTTTCAGGGTCTGATGACTCATTTCACTCTGCTCGGAAGCTTGAGGGGGACAGGTGAGAACACCAGATCGGTCCATGTTCCTGTTGGGTTCTAGGGTTTCGGATCCAAACAGTCGGGCCCCGATATGTCTCACGATTTTCTTTGGTCTCGTAATGTTCCGTAAGGGGCTTCGGGTGAACCAGCCATCCCATGGAGCCCTGGGTTAGAGTCAGAGATGATAGACCGTGCATGAAGACTTTGTGTATGTGCATGTCTTTACTCGTCTTTGTATGTTTTTAACCTTACAATCTTAGCAGAATGTTGCTTTCGACCCGTATGTGACAACATACAGTGTGCTTGGATTGCGTAAGCATATGCCTATACTTCTGAGTTTAAAGGATTTTACAGTCAGTGTACACAGAGATACATATAGATATGAACAAGAATTGAAAGGCTGCGGCCTTCTTCGAACCTTCTGAACAGGACCTCTCCTTGCAACTCCTGGTAGAAGACTTGCCGGGAGCTTGCAAGGGGTGTCTCAAGAAAAGAACGGGAGTCTTGGGTGTGGGAGCAGTTGGAATACCTTGCACCGCCTAGCCATCGACCGCGATTCGCCGTGCGATGCTGTGCGAGTGCCGAGCTGCCGTTCATCATGCTGCAGATTAAGAAAGCAGCGACACAGTTACATACTTAGATAGGTCTGTAGTGGCATTTGAAAAACCACAAGGCATAGAGTAAGGTAATTGAGTCACCTGCAAACGGTAGGTACTTGCGAAAATATCGGCACCTTTTGTAGTTCTGGTGCAGTAGGGTCGCACGACACCGTGTCTTCAGAGTTCGGCCGTCGTCTTGTAAGTCCTTGAGCTTAAGCTGCCCTGCATCCGACCGAGCTGGCATGAGTGATGAGGTTCCAGAAATATTTGCGAAACGTTCCAGCAGACTTCCTGGTGAGCGGGCCATTTGTCTGCAGCTTCTGCTTGTAGCTCAGTTAGAGTTGAGGACTTGGGGTTTGAGAGATTAGAACTGAGGATTGGATAAAGTGGCTTCAGGGGTTGAGAAAATTGGTGTTCCAGGGTGAGTCAGGGGAAGTCGTGTACATGCGACAAGGACCGAAGGTTTCGTTCGCTTTCCTGTAGCATCGAGTTCTTTGCACCTCGTTAGCCCAAAGTTCGTAACTTCCGGCTCCGAGTGTGTGACTTCAGCTAGGCATCACAGTCGTCGTTGGGTTGGGACGAGGAGTTCAAGCATGAAGCAGCGAGTAGATCGTCAAGCTTGACGTTGGCACGTGCCAACAGGCCGTGACGACGCTGCAGTCTCGTAGCGAATCTTGTTTCCACGAGTGGTGCAATAGAGTGATGTAGGTCAGCATGTTAGCAGTGCAGCGGACCGTGAGCCGCGGACTTCGCACAGCACTTCGGCCCTTGACACGCCTCCAAGATCTTGGCATGTTGTGTTCCCTGTGCTACGACAGCCTGAGTCCAGTGAAAGCTCCACTGGACCGGTGTCGTTGGGGTTTTCGCTTGCTTTACGCTCGAGGAACGACCCCACCAAATCCCAGCGCGTCGCCGGCGCCGCTCTGCTGGTCCTGCCGAAAGGCGCGGGCTGGGGAGGGGGGAGCGGCCGCTTCATCGCTGAGACGGTAACGTCAGAATGAAAGTCCTCGCCGATTGCTAACGTCATGCCCACGGATACGGACCGTTCGTAGAAGGGAGCAGCTTCGGTTGTTGCATGTGGGAAATGCAGTCCGGGTTAAGCGGCGGATTGGTGAGTGGAGGCTCATGCTGACCAGTTATCGGTTTCGAGTCCTGGTCTGAACTACTTCATTACTACGTCACCCCTTCAATATTTTGCCCCGTGAGGCGCTGGAATTTCAGAGATTTGGTTTCTTCCCCGGGCACTTACAACGGTAGAGAAGTGGCGGCCAAGGCTTTAGACAGATTCCTCCAAAGGCTGATAGTGACAGTACTCGAGATGGCAAGTGGCACATGTAAGGCGCTCTGTTCGCCAAGCATGTCTCGATCTTGTCTTATACACCATATATAAACTATACTATGCTATGTTACGCTCCACTGCACTATATGATCTATTCAAAGCAGTGCAAGGCGCTGAGAGTCTGGCGCCTTGCGGCCTTGTCAGCGTCGAGAAGGCGTTTCTCGAAGCTTTCGGCCTGGATGTTGCAAAAGGCCACCGCACGCCACTGCACGTCTTCATCCGCGATGCAGAGTTTGTGGGACCTGCGTTAAGGAAACGAAGGGTCGACTCCTTGACCCTCGCTTTGCCCGTGCAGCTACTTCGCTACTTCAGGTTGCCTTTCACTTCGACCTTTTGTTGATTCCCCTGTTCCTGTGCAGCTACTTCGTGATGTTCTTTGAGGTACAGTCACTTGATCGCTCGCCTCTTGCCATTTGTGTGCACTTGGGGGGAGCATTCCGTGTACTCGCAGTGATGCTGACAGGATGGTTCACCCAGAGAGCTTAAAACGTACGGCACGTGTAGACAGGAAGACGGGCGGAGTGCACGTAGTGAGTTTTCTGAATCCACAGATGGGCGGATTCGCAGTTGCAACGAGGGACAGAAGTGGAGCTCGACGACCAACTAGGAGCATGCTTCACTCGGCAGCAGGTGCTTTCACTAGCGTATGAACGGAGTTAGAACCTGCGCTAAAATCGTGACGAATACTGACTAGCGGCTAGGGAGGCGACTTTGTGACGTCGGAATCTTGACTTCATTGGTTCTGCCATGGCGACCTCATGCCCAGCTATCAGTAACTTGAGCGACTCGTGGACGATGCTTTCCTCATGTAGCTCCGCGAATTGGAGTTAGTTCCTTGCAACGGGCCCTTTAACCGTGAAACGACCTGTATCTCTTTGCGCAGGCAGCTTCTTGGTGCCTAGCAAAGAGGGCCTGGACTCCTCGTACTCTTTCGCGATGGCCTAAGGGAATGAGGGAATGCACACAATGGTGCTGCTGCCATCATGGTGTCGGTAAAGCTGACAACGATGACCATGATGCCACTGTTTTCAGTCATGATGATGATGATGATGATGTTGATGATGATGATGGTGATGATGTGCATGAGGATTGGGATGAGGACGGGGATGTTGATGTCAATGGAGATGGAGACAACGACAGCGGGCAAGATGCGACGACGGCGACGGCAGCAACGATGAGGATGGCGATGATGATGAAGATGATGTTGTTGTTGCTGCTGACGATCAGAAAGCGGAGAAGAGCAATGCTGCGTGCAGAGCATGCAGTGGCGGGGGCGTCGAGCAAGGCTAAGTGGTCAAATCGGGGATTGCTGTTGGACTTACGCACGTTTGGTTTGGCAGAGGGTCTGTTGTGCATATGTTCCATTCTGCTATTGTGAGCACTCGCGTCGGCTGCTGAGGTGCAGAGGTGACAAGGCTGAACTGCTCACATTTTCCCCGGCCTATAGTAGTGGTACCGCTTAGCATCTCTTCTCTGCACTTGGGACGTGGCGCAGAGCGCCCAACTGGTGACAAAGCTGTGGCTCGATGCCTGGCAAAAACCGCCACCAGATTCCCCTACCTTCGCATACCACTCATGGTTTGGTAATTGACACAGTCTTACCGTTGGTTTGAGCCGGTGTTTGAGCTTTTGTTTCACGTAGCTGATCTAGCACACATCCATGCGCGAATGCCGAGCTTCGATCGCATTCTGTCGCAAAGCAAGCTGCAGTGGATTTCACACGAGATCTCGCGTATTTCGCACGGCCTGAACGCACAGTACCTGCAGAGCGAGAGAAAGAGAGAGAGAGAGAGAGAGAGAGAGAGAGAGAGAGAGAGAGAGAGAGAGAGAGAGACGAGAGAGAAATACCGAGAACGTTTTCGGAAGAGATGCAGGTTAGGCAGGGCCGCAGATAAGCTCACCAAAATCGTCGACAAATACTTGCAATACCTGGCCGCAGAGACGCGCACCTATGTAATCCGCTTCCCTCAGAAAGCACATGGCCTACTGCAGCAAGCACGCAAGATAAGACGGAAGATGCGAAGACGGCAGAGGGCAAGGGGGACGACCGTGTTACCGCCACAGCCCCATGGTCAAAGCCAGGGGGACGCAACCACTGAAGCAGATGTGAGAGAAAGGCAGGACGAAGATGAAGTGGACTGGGGAAGCCCCGCGTCGGCAAAAGCTAGCGACCACACAGATGGGGGTGGAGACCTACCACATAGCCACGATGGAGGCGAAGAGGAAGCCAATGCGGACGTGAGGGGACGAAACTTGGGGGCGGAGAGGCCCCGCACTCCCAGCAGAAGCCCGCGGGGGAGAAACCTGGGGGCAGAGAGACCTCGTACCCCGAGCCGCAGCCCACGACGAGTTCGCCTACAACCCAGCTTACAGTGGCAAGTCCGAAGAGTGCAAGAGCACATGCGCAACAGCCGGGAAAGCCGTGAGAGCCGCGACCGCTAGAAAAGTACAGTGTGCGGGGGGGGGACTGGGGAAGGCAACTCTTTTGCACTTTTGTTGTGGTTGTTGCCGCTGCCTAACCCGGTTCCCCACTTTTTCCTGCCTTTATAGTCCTTGCCGGGGGAAATGCAAGCTGTCCTTTACTTCTGCAGAAGCTCGAAGTAGCCACCGAAAGCCCAATTCATTTGCACTCGTCGCCGGCCTGCGACGTCTATTACCAACCGCCACAGTAATTCAACGCTTTCGCCGACTGTTTCCAAACTAGAAGACATAATTCGACCGGCACATTTCATACGATTTGACGAGGGGGAACCAGCCACGACTTGAAAATACCTTGTACCATACCAGCTGGGGAACCCTCGCCGAGCAGCCAAAGTGGGGAGTTTTGTCGTTTACTTCTGGTTGGGGGCTTAGGTTCGTGTTGCGAAGGCTGCCTTTTTATTTCAGCTTACGTGGGGGATGTGCGTCTGCCGAAGGAACTAAGGAGCTAGCTATAGTGAGCGCGGTGATGAGGCCGGGATGCGCGCTAGTGTTCGGGGAGGGTTGGTTCCTTTGGCAGACGAACGCCACCAGCCAAACCTTCCGCCGGGTAAAACCCCGAGCGATTCGGCCCCAATGCCCCTTCCACCAAACAAAGGGGGAGGGGGGCGCCTTGGCGCGGGCTTTTCGGAGCTCTACCCCCGCAGCCGAAGCCGAAGAGAGAGAGAGAGAGAGAGAGAGAGAGGAGGAGGAGGAGGAGGAGGAGGAGGAGGAGGAGGAGGAGGAGGAGGAGGAGGAGGAGGAGGAAGACTGCTCCTGCCTCAAACCCCGAGCAAAGCAAAAAGAGAGAGAGAGAGAGAGAGAGAGCGGGCGGTTTTGCGTAAAGGGTGCGGCTCGCTACACGACAACCCGGGGCACACTCAGTAGTCCTATGCCGCGCTCCGCAACGACCCCAATGCCAACCACTCACTAACACAGTGGGGGGGTTGGGCGGGCCTATGGCCTGAGGGTCTTGAGCAGAAAAAAAGAAAGAAAGAAAAGAGAGGGGGCTAGCTGTAGGACACGCAGTTTTGAGTTTCCAAACCTACGGGCGCACAACCAGGACAGCCCAGGCTCTTCCTCCGGTATCCGGTTGTTATGAAGAGGCCTTAAACATGTCAGGTCGAACTCAAGGTTCCATAGTGCGGCGGCAAACCTTCGGCATGTTGAAATGCAACCGTTTTTTCTTTCCACGTAAACCAGAGATGCCATTTCGACATACGATGGAAAACGAAGCCATCGTAGATGCTTGCGAAGGCGTATCAAGCGTTTGCACACACGAAACAAGCAGACGAAAGAGACATATGGACAAGCTTGGGATGCGAAACATAAGAACTTTCCTGCCTGCCCCTGCCCTGCCGCTTGCCTGCCTGCCTGCATACATTTAACAGCTGTGTGTATAAACATGATATGTATGTGTGTGTGTGTGTTTATGATGTTTATGTATATGTATGTAAATGCTCACACATACGAATGTATCTGTATCTACATTCATGTTTATATCCGTCTCTATGTCTATATCTACAGCGTGCACGCGCAGACAGGCTCACATATATGCTTGCAGACTGACAAGGCACTCAGCGTACATACACTTACACTGTCGTGTTTGCTGTTTGCATGTACCATTGATGTACCATGTACGTTTGCTGTGAAAAGAGCTGGTCGACTCCGTCCGCATCGGCACAAGCTCCGGCACTCAGCACGGGTGCTGCGGGCCCCGAGGCGTGGCAGCTAGGTTCAGGTGAGGTGTTGAGTTCAGAGTCTTGGACTGTAAGTTTAACGTTGCAGAGCCCCTTCAGGTTTAAAGGTGGATAACGGTGAAGGTCCGGGCTTTCAAGGTTCGGGTTTAGGCCTTTGGCTCAGCTTTGGAGCAGCTGAGTTTGAAAGTGTTGGGACATCGCGAAGGTCAAACCAATGGTTCAATGCTCGGGGAAAGGTGTTCCTGATTCCCGGATCTCCTGGGTCTGTCACGATCCGGATCGAGCATCACCAAGCAGCGGGTTGGGATTTTGTGGCGCGGGGAGCACATGCCCGAAAAAAATCAAAGGTCACTTCTAGACTTCTAGGCATGATGTAGTAGTAGTAGTGGTAGTGGTGGTAGTAGTAGTAGTAGTAGTAGTAGTAGTAGTAGTAGTAGTAGGTGGTAGTAAGTAGTAAGTAGTAAGCAGCAGCAGCAGCAGCAGCGGCCGTGGCCGTGGCGGCCGTGGAGGCTGGGCTAGGGTTTCCGGTGTATGGTTTAGGGCGCCTCGGCTAGGGTTTAGAATTTAGGTTTTCGGGCGGCGTTGGGTGCAGGGTTAGTCTAGTTAGTAGTTAGTTAGTAGTCTTCACTTGAGGTTATAGGATTCGGTTTAGGGCGCCTTCCACGGCGACGTTAGTCTAAGCGCCTTTCACGGCGATAGCATTTAGTATACTTACTAGTCTTTAGTTTAGGATTTATAGGATTGAGGTTTTAGGTTTAGGGTTTAGGGGCGCCTGCCACGGCGTTAGGATTTAGGCTGCAGGCTGTAGGGTTTAGGATTTAGGGTTGCAGGTGTAGGGTTTAGGGCGCCTACCACGGCGAGGCTGAGGTCCTAAACCCTAAACTTCTGAAGGTCCTAAACCCTAAACTCCTGAAGGTCCCAAACCCTAAACTCCTGAAGGTCTTAAACCCTAAGCTCTCGCCTTCGCCGTGGACGTGGAAATCGGCGCCGGGGGCCACAGCCACATCAGGTCTGCAAGGTTTCTAGCCTCTGGTCACTGGTCGATAGAGCAAAGTAGGTAAGGGAAGTCGGCAAAGTAGATCCGTAACTTCGGACACAGAGGGCTGCTAGGCAATGAAACCCAGGTTTAGTCAGGGCTCAGGGCTAGGTAGGGGTTCGACCTAGCTTGAATTTTAATTCAGGTTAGGTTTAGGGTGTAGCGGGTCAACCAAGGTCTAGGGCCGGGAGTAAAATAGGTTAATTCTTTAAGATAGCGTTAAAATTTTGGTGGCATTTGGGGTGAGCCCTAACCCTAAGGCCCTAAGGTTTAGACATCAAGCCCTAAGCCCTAAACCCAGTGAGTGCGCAGTTTGATCACGGTCTCCGGACCGTGGTGCCAAAGTCTCCGGGCTTTGGCCGTCACGACCTCCGGGTCGTGGCCGTCACGACCTCCGGGTCGTGGCTACCACGGTCTCCGGACCGTGGTGCCAAAGTCTCCGGGCTTTGGCCGTCACGACCTCTGGGTCGTGGCCGTCACGACCTCCGGGTCGTGGCTACCACGGTCTCCGGACCGTGGTGCCAAAGTCTCCGGGCTTTGGCCGTCACGACCTCCGGGTCGTGGCCGTCACGACCTCCGGGTCGTGGCTACCACGGTCTCCGGACCGTGGTGCCAAAGTCTCCGGGCTTTGGCCGTCACGATCTTTGGGTCGTGGCCGTCACGACCTCCGGGGCGTGGCTACCACGGTCCCCGGACCATGGTGCCAAAGTCTCCGGGCTTTGGCCGTCACGAGTGGCCGTCACGACCTCCGGGTCGTGGCTACCACGGTCTCCGGACCGTGGTGCCCGTAAAACAATTTTAAATGCTGAACCCTAAAGCCTAACGAACCCTAAGCCCGTACAACCATAGACCTTAAACCCTGAACCCTAAAGCCTAAGGAACCCTAAACCCTATAAGCTCGGGTTGGAGGGTTGCCGGTTCAGGAGGTCGCGGGAATTTCAGGTTCAGGTTTGTTTTCGCAGAATATTTCAGATTTTAGGCCTTGGGCTTACTTGAAAATACCACCATAACCTGTCTGACATTCCCCAGCGCCTTCGCTGTCTTGTGCTCAGCTGCCGGGCGCGGGAGGGCAGTTTAAACCTGTGCTGCAGGGGCTTGTTCGGGAGGTTGCAGTCAGATTCTTGCCGTGGGTAAGTGCATCGAAGTCTTGTGCCACTGCTTGATCGGGAGTTTCAAAATATAAAAGACTTAGTTGGTCGAGCTCCTGCCGCGAGGTCCGGGACATCGCGGCAACCTCCGATGCGGCCGGTCTTGGCGAACGAGGCGCGAATTCAGCATTGCTGCTCAAGATCCGACATGATTGTTGCGTAGCAGAGCAAGGATCCTGAATGCTTGCTGTTTGCACGCAGTCTGATTGCCCAGCCCCTTGCACTTCGCAGCACAAGCTCATCTTAGACATGCTCTGCAGCATATCTTCAAGCTGATTCGAAACGAATCAGCAGCACCGACAGGGTTCTGAGATTCGGAATACATGCATGATTTCATGTGAGAGCCATCGCATTGTCAATTGTCGCATGTCGCATGGACCAGATCAGACTGAACGTGTAACTGTAACACCACTTTCATCTCGATTTTCGGGAAGCTTGTGAAGCCATGCCGGGCTCCCGCGACAAGCGCCGCCACAAGGACAGGGGTCGCTCACAAGAGTGGATGGTCGTAAGTATTAGTTACATGCAGTAGGCGTACTTCATTCTGATAGAGACGTCTATTCCCACCTAAGTTCGTTTGTGTGACGTGCTGGATTTGGACTCAGTCTGCCGAGGGATCTCCATGTAACTTTATTCGACGCTGTACATATACATTCCTGTTATCTAGCATTGCTCTGTTGAGAATATTGTCTTTTTCCAACGACATTCCAAGCATTATCGTTCTCGAGAAAGAGCTTAGGACTTTCCCTGCATTAGACAGTCAAGCAGACGACCAGTGGCCGCCAGGAGGAGGAAAAGGACAACGAGAAGAAGAAAAAAAAAAAGAAGGAGAAGGCCGACAAGAAGGGCGACAAGAAGGGCAAAAGCAAGAAGGAGGTCAAGAAGCTCGCCGAGGAGTCCGAGGAAGAGGGGGAGGAAGAGGAGGAAAAGAGTGTGGCCCATGCGGCTTCCTCAAGCGACCTTCGGCAGCACACAGAGATTCGTGCCTTTATGGTTCATGTTGAATTTATTTCCTGTTCTGGAACTCAGGGGTTGGTGCGAGATGCGGAAGGCCGCGAGGTCCAGCCGAAGCTTCCGCCGAAGCACTTTGATGCAGCTTCTCAGCTGCAAGCCCTGTCCCCCAAATCTTGTGCGGCACATTGTCTTAACCCGACAACCAAATGCAAGGACCCGACTTCCAACCGGTCCAAGAAGAGGCAGAGGCACCGTGAGCGCATGTCGGCGAAGGCGTCGGTTCCTAAGCCATCGGCGCCTTCGACGGGGCCGACGCCATCGGCGCCTTCGACGGGGCCGACGCCATCGGCGCCTTCGACGGGGCCGACGCCATCGGCGCCGTCGACTTCGGTGCCATCCGTATCTTGATTGCCGTAATCGTCTGAGTCCATGCCAACTTTAAAAAAGGATGCACTGTCTGAAAAGCCTTTGCTTTTGCCTTGAGGATGCGGGCAGAGACGAGATTGCCTGTCACAGGCAGATGAGCTTCCTCACGGAGTGTATTGCGCCCGGCCTGCAATTGGCAATAGGCTTTTGTTCTGTGGAGTGTAGCCGCAGCAGCAGTGAGCAGCCGCTTGGTACTCAGTTGAGCAACACTTTGCCGGCCACTGCGTGGGCACCCATGATGGCTCGCTACCACGACATTCCGGAGTCACAGGCAGCCTGGCAGCCATTTACTTCTGACGCTCCTTGAATATTTCTTGCTTCAGGTGGTGGTCCCGGATATGATCCGGAATTTGCTGCCGGTCCCTGGGCCACCACCGCGGCCGCGACCACCACCGGAGGTAGTGACGCGGCATATCCGAGCCCTGACGCCTTCGCTCCCAGTTCGCCCTGCAGCGGGAGGAGCGGGGGTTGGGCCTGTAGCGATGCCAGTTAGGGTCCCACTTTGCCCTCCAAGGGCTCGCCGTGCAGGAGCGCGGCCAGGCGCTGCTTCGCCTGCAGCACCAGGAAAGGGACCGGGAAAAGGTGCTGGCAAGGGCCCCCGAGGCTAGGAGGTTCATGGGACATCACATGTAAGCCAGCTGAGGACTTCCACTTCATACAGAAGCTTCCAGGCTTAAAATCAAAGATTCCCTGATAAGAAGGAGCCAGAAGTCCCACGAACCTACTAGCCAGTCTTCCAGCGAGAGTGCCTATCGCTGCGGGCGAGGCGATTGATGGAAAAAAGTGTCTTGCAAAGCTGGCCTGCAGTTGCTTGTTTTACTAAGAGAGCCTGGTTGCTACATCATCCCGGTGCAGGTCTTGCCTCGGATCTTCATCAAGGACCCGCACAGGAGTGGTGCCGAAAACTCCGAGCTGCGAGGGTCTTGCTTTCCTTGTGGCGCCTTGCCTGTTTGAAGCCTTGCCTGAGTCGAGCACCGCAGCCCTTTTCAGCTCGTGTTCCCGCTCCCCATCATGGACCTCAGCGAGTCGTTCCAGTTCGACCAGGGCGGCGTGGACCGCCGCGGTGCCCTCCGATCGCTGGACTTCTTTGAACTTGCGCCGTCCTCAGGTCCCTCGCTTCTTGGGATTTTTCACACGCTTCCTCTGCAGGTCACGATGCAGCTCGAAATCGCCCAGATAATGGCGGCCCGACTGAGGCGGTGGGAGCGCCAAAGCAGAATGCTTGATCATCTCACTGCCCAGGCCTGTCCCTCTCTCTCCCCCTCTCTCCCCGCGCAAGTTCGCCTAGCAGGCGCCTTCAGCTGATGCCCCGGAGGCGGAGATGGAGGCTCGCCGTGGCGGTCGTGACCCGCAGGCCCGGGCCCTTTCTTCAGCTTCTTCCTTTGCAGCCGGTGCCCTGCTAGGCTGGGAACCAGCGTGGCGGTCATTCGGAGGCCCGCTTCTTTTTTTCCACTTCCC